AAAGCGGTTTCCGTGCTGTAGCCAGGCCTGAATCCCGACTGAAAGGTGTCCAGATAATCGGCTTCCTCCAAGGACCATCGGAGTTCAGAGGCTACCACTTTCTCAACAACCTTCCCAATGAAAGGGGAGGTTGGAGACTGGCCGGTAGTTGGGTCCAACGATGGCTTCTTCAGGAGGGGTCTCACCACCGCTATCTTCAGTGCCGGTGGGAAGAAGCCCTCCCGAAGAGAAGCACTCACCATCGCCTGGATCCAGCTCCGCGTCACCTCCTTGCGGTTCACGACCAGCCAGGAGAGACACGGGTCCAGTACACAAGTGGCAGTACTCACCGCTCCGCTTATGTTTGGCTACTCTAATTCTATTACCATAAAATCACAGAATTGTGGAGCTCAAAGTGATTACAAAAATCATGTAGACCAACTCTATCATTTTAGAATTTCTGTTTATACTGATCAAAGATTTAAAACTGGGAAGACTCAAAGCCTCTTGCAGGAGAGTTCAGGTTGGTGCTTGACTTGTGGAATAAATTGCAATGGACCATATTATTTTACTGACAGCCCCCCAGAACATTTATGACTGGTCACTGACAGTGAATTTAGAATAGAATAGAATAACAGAATTGGCCATCTAGTCCAACCCCACCCTTGCCCAAGCAGACCCTACACCATATTTCTGACAGATGGCAGTCCAGTTTCTTCTTGAAAGGCTCCAGTGATGAAGCTCTCCAACTTCTGAATGCAACTTCTGTTCCATCAGTTGATAGCTTTCACTGTCAGAAAATTCCTCCTTATTTCCAGGTTGAATATCTCCTTGTTCAGTTTCCATCCCTTGTCTGGCCTTCAGGTGCTTTGGAAAATAGCTTGACCCCTTCCTCTCTGTTGTAGCCCTTCAAGTATTGGAAGACTGCTACCCTGTCTTCCTCTTCACTAGACTAGCCATACCCAGTTCCTGCAACCGTTCATCGTATGTTTTAGTCTTCAGTCCCCTAATCATCCTGGTTGCTCTTCTCTGAACTCTCTGTAGAGTCTCAACATCTTTTTTTATAGTGTGGGGACCAAAACTGGATGCAGAATTCTAAATGTGGTCTTACTAAGGCGTTCAAAGCCAGTTCTCCAGGAAGAGCATTTCTTAACCTGGTATCACCAGAATCTCACCACCCAGAAGCCAGCTGTGATTCTTCCCCAGATGGAACCCTGCCTTGGTTAATCAAGAGGCCCCTGGGGGCCAAGAGCTACCCTTTGCTCATTTACCTTTTAGGACATTGAGAATGAAGAAAAGGACTGCTCCAGCTGCTGGCCTTGGGGCTGAGAATATAGTATATTTGTCCAGTGACATATTCACTGGTTTCATCAGTTCAACACGATAATTCTTGAGGTCCTCCAATGTCAAGGTGCCACCTAAACAATGACAGAAAAAGAGAGTGAATCTTTCGATCCTCCTAGGAGGTGATACTTTTCAGAAAGGAGGTGCATGGGGGTCTCCCTCTCAACTTGAAGCTCCAGGAGAAGCTGCAGACCATGAACAGATATGAGCCTAAGAGCTACCATAGTGATCAACAGATGGCCTTCAAATCTTTCAACAGCTAACTGTTCTCTGCCCCTTTTTCTGCAGAGAACATCTTGGACTATGTATCCGCATTTAGTGGACTTTGGTGCAACTTCATGCGAGATCCATTTTGGAAAAGTGAGACTGCTGGAAAGACCTCTGGCTAGCTTAGCCATTTTGGGCCCTTCCCCACCTGAACCAAACTGTGATACAAACACGAATGTATCATGATTTTGTCTTTTTCTTATCTGCAGCCCAAGCCTCAGTCAACTTTACATCATCTTTTGTTCTACCGGTGAGAAAGTATTGCCTTTTCCCTTCCCCCAATCTCCATTTTGCTATGAGGCTTTGACCTCATCGGCTTCACTGACCCCCTGCAGAGGGTGCAGAGATCCTCGCAGGTTGGACTGAACCTGGCACCTCTTGGCTGTTCCAGGTCAGAATGGACAACTCACCCGGGGGACAATTCAACAAATACAAAAGTTAAATTAATTTCAACAGAACCGCGGCCAATAATAATAAAGAAAGCCAATCCAGAGTTACAAATATTTTGACAAAAATGTGGTCACCAATAAGAATAACTGAATGAAATGATTTAGACTGTTGAATTGTCCTGCAGTGAGTTGGCCATTAGTCACAGTGAGTTGGCTGTGGTGAGTTGTCCTTAGACCTGTTCCAGGCTGGGTCAGCGTCTCTCCCCTCTAGTTTCACTCTGCTTTGGACATTGGAAGCCTTGGGGCCTTTTCTCTGAGACTTTCTCCTCTTAGACCAGGTCTTGAAGCAGTCTGAACAGCTGCTAACCAATGGGGGTAGTCGAGGGGGGTCCCAAAGGGAAGTTGGGGGTAAGAAGAAGAAATCTCCTGAGGTCTTTTGGCTGTTGTTGTTTTTGAACAGCCATTCTTTTAGCCTGCTTTTAGCACAAACACCATACATGAAATGAACCTGACTTTCTCCTCTCCCCCCCCCACCCTTTGAAGAGAACACGAAAGGCATAACTGAGATCAGACAAGTCAAGCTAGAGCACCGTCTCCCCACAGCTTCGGCCTTTCTTGGCTGATGGTCTGGCATGTCCCCTGTTCATGGGAACTGAGCGGCTGCATCTCTCAGATCTCAGGCGGAGACCACTTCAGGATTAAACAACCTTGTTGTGACTGGCAGGAACCTGAAGAGTAAGTGGCTTGGGAGAATGGTGCAACATAGCCCTACCTTCAGCTCTGACATCTTGCACTAACTTTTCTGCCGTCCTCCCAGAGTAGAATTCTTCAGCCCCGTTTTCTGCCACGGCTTTTAGGGTCTCCTCCAGGGCTGCCCAGTGCAAGGCCTCTCCTTTGCTCAGGACGGCTCCTTGGTCATTGCAAAGCAGGTGGCTGAAAGAGAGGCCAGGAAGGATGCCCATCAGCGGCTGCGTTCTTCAGGCCTCTCTACGGAAGCCCCAATTTAGCCTGTACACACAACTAGCTCTGGTCAATTCCAAGAATGCAGGCAAATCTCTGATCTATGGCCAGACAGGACAGGTAATCCTTGATTTACAACAGTTCATTTAGTGACTGTTCAAAGTTACAACAGCATTGAAAAAAGTGACTTGTGACCGGTTTTCACTTAACAGCATCTTCCAGGTCAGGCAATCAAAATTCAGGTGCTGGGGAATGGACTCATATTTATGACAGTTGAGGTGATCCCCTGGGATACGTGATCCCCTTTTGCGACCTTCCAGCAAGCAAAGTCTATGGGAAATCCAGATTCACAACATCCTTGTCACTAAATTAACAACTGAAGCCATTCACTTAGGAAATACAACAAGAAAGGTTGTAAAATCGGTGAAACTATCTCGCTTAGCAATAGAAATTTTGGGCTTAATTGTGGTCATAAGTCAAGGACTGTCTGTACTTCATTTCTTCTGAGACTGCTGAGGATAATTCTGGCCAAATGCGGATTCCATGCATTTCCAAATATGGCCTGATGTGTGGCTCTTCTTCATTGGTGTGGGGTTAAAGATCCTGCGGACGGGAGTGGCTGAAACTCCCCATGACCAAAGGGGGGGGGAGGCAATTTCCCTCACTCTGCCCTTTCCCTGAAAGTAGGGCTCTGGTGGCCAATCCCCCCCCCCCATGCCATGTAGAAGGACACACACACAAACACATGCACACAAACACATGCACACAAACACATGCACGCATGCACACACACACACCGTGGAGAGGGAAGGGAAGGGCTAAATCTCTTCATACCCACCCACCCTCTACAACTAGGCAAGGAGAGTGCTGGACCTTAATAGAGAGAGCTGGGGGACAGCAGGGGAGAAAGAGAGAGAAGAAAGACAAGGTAAACTATTCCCCCATCTAGGCTTATCCTTATCCTTCCTGGGAAGCTGGAAGGATCATAAGGCCGAGGTCCCTTCTCAAAGGAGAGGGAAAGCACATGCCAGTCAAACAATGGAGATCTGAGAGGGTCTTGTGATGATCAGATTGAGCACAATCTGGAAACACAACGATGCTACCTAAATGTCAGCAGAGATTTGTGAATGACAAGCTTTATCCAACTGCCTTCCTGTTTGTATTGAATAATTTTATGGAGAGTGTTTTGCAAGGCATTGAAGATCTGACTGTCTATTCTCCCCCCACCCCCAATATTTAGGTCAGATGGCTTGGCTCTTATTGATGCTGAGGGGGGTCCTGGCTTCTCCTTGGGAGGTAGGGGAGGGGCTATATGCAGTGGGTTTGTATGTTTTAATGCTGTGAGCCACCCCAGGGTGTGAGATGGACGGACAGCTATTGAAATCAATAACAGGAATGTCATCTTATTTGGGCAAAGCAGGTGACATTTTATACTTTAATTAGCAACGTTAAACATGGTCAACTGTTGACTTGATTATTACACTCACACACCCTTAGTTCCTAATCAAACTGGAGGATTGTAGTAAGTGGTAGTATAGAGCTGAAGAAGCTTCTTGGATGAGAAGTGAAACGTCTTCAAAGAAAAACCAGAAAGTCCAATTGCCTCTTGAAAAAGCACCTTTGGGACTATTAACGGCTACCACAAGATTTAGAATAAGAAAGTGGAAGGGATGGGTCAGTGACGTGCAGTCAGGGGAGGCAGGGGAGGCAGGGCCTCACCACTGTCATCATGAAAAGAAAAAAAATGTAAAAGGAAAAAGGCTGAGGTAGTTGCTGCCAGAGTCACAGTGGATGACTCTGCTTAGTGCTTAACTGTTTAAAAAAGCCTCTAAAAAAGTGCTCTCTACAGGAAGAGGCAGAAGAACCACATGCCTCATTTAGTCTATCTTTATGATCACTCGAGCAGAGCTAAGCAAGGGTTAAAAGCTGAAAAATTTCTGCCTCCTGTAGAGGACATTTTTTTAGAGGCTTTTTTAAACAGTTAAGCACAGTCATCCATTGGGGACTCTGGCAGCAGCTAACCTGACTTCAGCAGCTCTTGCCTTTTTCTTTTTACATTTTTTACATTTTTATTATAGTAGACAAGAGGAGAATTGAAATCCTCTGTGAAACAGCTGGAAAAGGTATGTGGGTCGGAGGGAGGAATTCAAAATTATTGTAATTTGTAAGTAATTGTAATTTGTATTATTGTAAGTAATTTGTGTGTGTTTGTGTGTGTGTGTTTTACCCGCCTCTGCTGGCGTGCGGGTTGGCACTTTCTTTTTTATTTTTTAAAGCCCTGCCGCCACGTCCGCCATAGAGCAGGATGCGTCCCGCTCTATGGCGGACACGTCGCCGGGACTTTAAAGCCCTGCAGCCCTTTAAAGCCCTGCAGCCCTTTCCGAAAGCCCCACCGAAGCCCTGCCACCGCGTCTGCCATAGAACACCATACATATGTCCCACTCTATGGCGGACACGGCGGCAGGGCTATGGAAGAATAGAGTGGGACACGTCCCGCTCTATGGCAGATGCGGTGGCAGGGCTTTGGCAGGGCTTTGGGAAAGCCATGCTGGGACTTCAGCGGGGCTTTCCAAAAGCCCCGCCGAAGCCCTGGCACTGGCAGACATACGGCGGCAGACGTAGGGCGGCTTTTGCCCGCTTGCCTCACCGGCCATAAATCTCACCGCAGGTCACGGGTGTATTCAATAAAAAATGTTTTTAAAAAAGTGTGTCAAAAGGGTTGTAGGAGACATTCTTAGTCTGGCGATGTTCAGAATTGCTGTAAAGGATCCAAAGAAGGATACTGGCCTGCCATTGGCCAATCCCACGTTTCAAAGTTTGATCTCACCATGAGGATGAATTCTTCAAATGCGACTCTAGGAATTTTAGAAACAGGCTCAAAACATCTGATACCCGGATCCCAAGGCCAAGCATCTGGATGGTGGGTTCAAAAAGGTCCTTCCATGGCAATCTGCCATAGCGTTGGTGAGCTTCTTTATAACCACGAAGTTCCCCAGGAACAGCAATCCATTGAGGCCCTACCGAAGAAAGGCATTATGGATCACCCTAATTTTATTGTTAGACTGCTTGGTTTAGTTCCAGAACTCCCTTGTGGCTTGTAAAAACGTATTAAAATTATGAGTAGAAAAATCTGAGTGTCTACCTCAGTGTTCCTCTACCTTAAAAACCTTGATAAGATGTGTGGATCCTCATCACCCAGAATTCCACAACAAGCCAGCCAACCACAAATCTTAAAATCAGTAAAGCTGAGAAACAGCAGTCCTGATCATTCATCCTAGCAAAACCCTTTCAGGTGCAAGTATGGTTGATGTTTTTAAGAGTCATAAGTCAGAAGAGATTGGCTGATATTATCAATGTCCACCTGTATGTTTGTCTCTGCTTAAGGAATACTCTTTGGGACTAAAGAGGCTAAGTTCCTCCACATTTGAGGTCTTTGAGATATTTAAAAAGACTTGTCTGAAATGGTATGATGGTCTCCTGTTTGATCATCGGGTTGGACTAGAAGGTCCAACTAGACCCAAGGTCCTTTTCAGCTCTACTCTGATTGATTGATTGACACCTGAAATTCTATCAGTCTTATGGCATCTAAGAAGATGAGCACTCAGCCGGTTCACATTGGTTCAGGCGAACCAGTTGTTAACTTTTTGATCTGGGCTTTGATGATTAAATATGGAAATAATGTAGACAAATGTTAATCTTAGAGTAAGAGCTTGATATATGTTTTACTTATAACTGTACCAATGAAACTTGCAAGTCACTCTTTTTCTTTCCTGAGCCTTTTCTTTTTTTCAAATCTGTTTTTTATTTGTTTATAGCTTTGTATTTTTTTGATGTATGAAGAATCAACTACTTAGCCATTATAATTCTACATTCCTTATTTACAGAAATTATATCAAAATTTAGAATGAAATGCACTGGGAGCCATCTGATATGAGGCAGGTTCTGAGTCCCTCTAACCAAAAAGTGTTTATCGATGGAAGAGAATATTGGTAGCTCAGAGTTGAACTGTGGGGTCCTTGGTGCTCTCTGAGCTTGATGGTTTTCTTGCAGATGTTTCATTACCAAACTAGGTAACATCATCAGTACTAGAAGGGTGTGGAGTTTGCTCTGATTTTCATATACTCGTGGCTTACCCTGTCAGCGTTGATGAGTTACTTCACAAAAAGTGTTTTGATTGGTGCCAGGTCTCTACAGCTTCAGGCAGAGAAGGGCTACTCCGCACCCCTCCCTCAAATATTTCTTTAAAATACAGAGTTTCCCAGCATTCCTTTAGAAACCTCCAACATGCAAACTGTGGTTACTCAGCCTAAAAAGAATCCTCTTTATCTGGAGCTTCAAAATTTGTTGTTTGGTGTGGTGGTGGTGGTAGCTAAAAGTCAGTCTACATTTAGTGTACATCTGACTTTGGCGATATTTCTTCATAACCAAAGAAAAGTGTATTTTCTGTGCAGTTCACATCTCTTGCTCACTGGATCTGGATGTCACAAAGCAAAGCACACATTTTGTAATTAACCCCTGCGCCCCGTTTTGGCTGGCAGAGTGCTGCAGGAGGCTAAATGCTGTCATGCCCCCTGGCTACGCCCACCCTGGCCATGCCCACCCACCCAGTTTTGCAGTGGTTCTCCTCCTACCTCTCGGACAGGTCGCAGTCGGTGTTGGTGGGGGGGCAGAGATCGTCCCCGAGGCCCCTAACCTATGGGGTCCGCAGGGTTCGGTCTTATCCCCCCTACTATTTAACAT